AAAGAAAGAAATCTGAAAGCATTCAGCACTTTCACTTATATAGGCAGCATCATTTCAACTAAAAATAGCACCGATGAGAATCTAATAGTAATGTATAATTAGGAAGGATGAGGCAGACATTTATTCTTCTGAAATAACTAAGGATAAGGAACGACATTCACATTTTTAGTTTTAATGTCAACTCAGTTCCTTTGCGAAATTCAGAGATTTAGCTTGTCATGAAAATTATTTCCATGAAATTTCAGGCTTTTATTAGTAGCTGCTTCCCCTCGATAACGATGGTCAGATGTCCGGTCAGAAAAGATAAGCAACGATAAACTCTGGAGATGAGACATCGCAAAATAAACACCTATCGATAAGTATTCAGAGGGAAATGGAGATGAATTGGGTACACGCTGGCTGGCGGATAGCTAAGTGACAGACCTTCAAGTGAAACCAAACTGAGAAACAACAACTTAGGCGTAGATCCGATATGGAGGGGTCGTTTCGATAGAAGATGAGAACTTATGGAAAATCATTGAACCGGTTAAAATGCAAATGTCCTGCGGAGGTCGTAAGTTCCAAATGGAACTCAAAGAGAGATTAATAATTATTAACAACCTTACAAGGATGCTCTAAGAATCGATTCGCCTGTAATGCCTAGTAAGACAATAACAATTGGAGAGCTACGTTTGTTTATATCACCCAATAAAAGACAATCAATTAAATCTGTATGGTGACTCATGGCTTAAGTATTATTTCATCACTGGTTGTTTTGCTCTCATATTATTTTGACCGTCTTTTCAAAGAAAGTATCCATACTAGCTAATGATTATAAATCTGTTGGGTAATCATAACAAAGCAGATAACTTCACACTGTTAGGTTTTCCAAGTTCACTGTTTACAAATGATATTCTGAACTAGTCATCTGTTGGGTGGACTGAACATACGTTTGGGATTATAAATGACTGAGCAAACAGCTTTTTAAATGTAATCTAAACATTGCAGTAGTTCCTCTATCTATGTTGAAGTACAGGTGGTCAAACAAAAAATAATTTTAGGAAAAGCAAAAATGAACACCAAAGCAGAATAAAAATGATTAATTTCATTTCATTTGACTCCTATTACCTAAGTACAACCTACAACAGTTAATACAATGGGATATATTAAAATTTTAAGATGCTTTAGTTCATTAAATACAATCAGATATCCAGTTATTCATTGCATAATATACTTACAGTGTAGTAGGATATATACTGTTGACAGAAGTAACATGGAAAGCTGAAGATATTAGTTAAGCAGTTGCATAAGTTAGTTACAGTTCAGTGAAAAGGTATAATAAAATGCAGTGAGTACAATTCAGATGGGAAAAGAAACCTAAACTTCATGTGGGAAACTTGATGAAAAGATAATGGCGTACATCGTAGTGAAACTCAGCGAGTAAATTTTAGACGACCAACAGTTGATATCCTACGTGAAAGTAAGTTGACCAAATGAAAAAAACGGTGCAGTCGAATAAGTCGACACTTATAAAAGAGAGCAACCAGGATAACCAGTGCGCCGGCGATTCACCGAAATAATACTTGCACACTATGAACTTGGGTCGAAGTTCGATCTCTAACCGCAGCACTCTTAAACCCCTCTTAGTCGATTGTAATCCCGGCACACAGTGACAGTCGGGCGTGAGACTAGTAACTCCAACCCTTGAACTACACCACTACTAGTGAAATTCCGGAGCTCAAAGCTGAAGCCCTATGTTCCCCTAGAAATGCAAAAGAGTTAAATAAATGACTACATTGTGATCGAAGTCTAACAACTGGTCTATACTGCACATACGAACTAGATTACAAATGTTTTATCCCACTAGCCTCAACATACGCAAAATGATCTGTGCTCTTTTTATTGTTAATTTATCTAAATGTCCCTATAGCTTCTATTCAATATCTTGCGTGTATTGAGGTAAATAAACAGCCCTTGTCAGAATTCTCTTAGTTCTTATTAAAAGAAACAGTTTCTGTGAAGCGATTGTCCAAAGGAGAATGTGTAAAATCGTCTCTCCTCCCTAATATTCATGATTTTCACTTTTATGAGTAAGCAAAATAGTTGAAAGTTATAGTTTCATCAAGATTTGAGTTGGAAAAACCCATGGCAAGCTTAATTATCAACTTTCAGAGTTTAATTGGTCTTCATTAAAACGGGGAAGTCAATATGGACACTTTAGTAAGTTAACATAAAGAGAGAGTCAGTCTTAAAGAACGTATATTGTATACATTTCAGGATATACCACAGCATTTCTGAAAGCAATTATAACTGAATATCATTTAAGTGATGAATTATTGATTTCTTTATTGCAAAACTTATTGCATAATACTCTGTTCATATGCACCGAAGTTTTATTACATACCTGGATCATACATACTATTCTCTAAAGGAAAAGAGACAGCCTTTTCTTCTTCGGTAATTGAATACTTTCACAGTGTGACTTGGTCGGTATTTCTGCAGTTTCGTAATACTTGTACATTACTCACTCAGGAGAGATTAATGACGAACTGAAAATGATGCAGCTAGACGTCGAATGTTCTCATCATAAAACGCCAATTACGTGGAAGTAGTAACAAAAAAGCATTGCTAATAACATTTTGTTAATACAAACGATTATCTGATTGTGTGTACACTGAATTACAAACGTACAATATCCTCAGATTTCCCATGCATCATTTTTAGAAAGGAAGACGATATCAAAATAACTTTTTTTTTATAAGAAATGCATCGTTCACAATAGTAGTAATAGAATCTTTGTTCTGCACAGTATTTATAAAATGTACAGAATTTTCGGAGGAGTTTATTGCATGATATTTTCCCTTCGTACGATATATTCAACTAAAATTTTAATTGACAGTATATTCTGTGACAGACACAGCGGCGTCTGAGCTGAAGTACAAACCATTCCATTATGATATATCTGCCTCGTCTCCTTCAAGAAAACCACAACTGTAAGATGTTCAGAAGTACATTTTGAGATCCGAGAACATAACTAAAGAAAAGTTCTCTCATGCATTGGAACACGTTGCCACTCACAATCAGACCTTTCCTCAAGTTTAGTAATATAACTTGCGAATCAGGATCTTGTAAACATTTTTAATTCACACAAGAGTAAATAATACCATCAGTGGTTATATCTTAATTTATTAAAAGAAAGAAAAACGAGAGAAAATACACGCAATATGGAGATGGATGGTTTTGGCGGCTCAAGTTTTAAAAAGGCCACCTGTGAATACAATAAATAGTATTATTGATATAGGTATGAAACTTGAACCCTGTGGTAGAATATAACTCCATTGTAGAAAAGATTTTATTTCGATAAATCGCACATTGTTATACGGTTATATTTACTGACGACGTTTCGCGCACAAATTAATGGAGCTCATAATCATATTAAGCACTCACTCAAACAACTTTTTACTTCATTTATACACGTGAGTGGAAATGATTAGACATTTGAACGAAAACCGATATAAGATAATTTGCATTCAGAAATAATAATAGTGTTATCAATCAAATACAATCACATGAGAAATAAGATGTTTTTATAGTCAAATAAATAAGTAACTTGTTAGAATGTCATAGTGTGAATAGAATACATTTTAACATTATTTATTATCCTCTGATTTGACTGGTGGTAATAATATCTTCCATATCTCTGGTATTTGCTTTGAGTCATTTCTGTTGCATGTGTTAGGTGTAGACTCTATGATCCATGATTCAGTAATCAATCTATTTCCACCTATATATATATATATATATATATTATATCTTAGAATTTTAACCCTCTCCCACCCTCTTGTGTGGTTGTGTGTTAATGCATGCAGTTCAATCACTGAGCTTTTTCCTAAACGACTTATCTTCGTGGGATCAATCATTCTAACCAAGATAAATTCTTATGTTCTGATAATCTCACTACTCCTGATCTACTAGTTTGACCTATGTAGTTCATCTCACAGACATTACAAGGTATTTTGTAATCTACGTTATTTTGTTTAATTGGGTCCACGGGGTCTTTCAGACTACAGAGATTGTCTTATCTGAGTGAGTTTATAGGTTTAAATGCCACTCTAATTCCTGCTTTAATGAGAATCCTACGTAGGTTGTCAGATGTCCCCTCCTTATATGGTATAACTGTAGATGCCTTATATTCTTTCTTATTTACGTTATCATAATTAGTTTCACCATTATTTTTACCTTCCTTTAACCTTTTTCATACTCCTTAATAATTGTATAGGAAAGTTATTTAACACCAATTAGCTATTCTCCTATCTGTTTCATTTCATCGTTTAGGTTTTTTATTGTACTACTCAGTGCTATCACTGAGTTTGTTAGACACTTAACTAAGCCTGCTATAACAGTTAACGGATGAGATGAATAAAAGTCTAAATATCTATTAGAGTGAGTCGGCATTTTATAAACACTAGTGTGCAGTTTACCTTCTTCCATTCGTTTTATTTTACAATCTTACATGGCTACTTGTCCTTGTTCATTTTCCGATTCAAATGTGAATTTCATTCCCTTCACTAGTGAGTTTATATGCGTCAAGATTCTAGAGAGAGAGAGAGAGAGAGAGAGATGTTCTGTTTCTAATACTGTGAAACTGTCATCCACATATCTCCACCATATTTTTGCAATAGGTTTCAATGTATTTGAATAAAAAATAGTATATGGAGGAAGAAAGCAGTCGGTGGGTGATTTTAATTAGGCAGAGGTTAGGAGAACACTGTAGGCATAATTATCCAATATTGAATAAAGTCTAGAAATACACACACAAAAATATCTCAAGCTCCAGTCATAGAAATAAACGAGCTGCTGTCATACATATATAAATTTTAAGCTTCAAGTTTCCATAAGTTCATAATTAATTTATGACTCACTTTAGAGACGATAAAGTATTGATGCTCTCTGTTATATCAATGTATGCCCATTCAGTATACACATGGAAATTTATATATGTTCAATGATTCAACGTTTGTGTCATTTGATGACATTGTAAAGAAAGAAAAAAACTAATCAGACGACTTGAAGTTTACCAGATCAAAAAAAAAGAAGGAAAAAGCGATCGTCTGACAAACATAAGACCACATACATACACATACATTCAACCTGTATTTAAATATCTGCATGACAAAATTGTCTTCCGTAGTAATTGTAGAGAATTAGTGTTGTAACTATTCTCAGTAGTACTCAGAGATAGATATATATGTAGAAATACATACATACACACATTGACAGTCGCAATATGATCATTTTAGTTGTGTAAGAGTATGGATAAACTTTATGGGAATGGATAGATAGTATTATGCTAATTTTTGATTGGCCAGTAGGGAAGTATTCAGTTTGAACAAGTCTATATAATTACTTACTTATTTCACTGAAGAGAGGAAAATGAAATATTGAAAATAAACAATTACTGTCACTATCTTAATTTTCTTATGAAGCAACAAAACACCGAAATGAAACTTACATTAATAAACTAGAGCAACAAGCAAAAGTGAATAAAGAAATAAATAAATAAAAGAAATCGAACCATGCCACTGCGTATACCACAACCAATACAGCTCTGGTTCAATTCATTGCATCATCGTAGAAAGTTAAAAAGTCAAGATTCATTCATTTTACCAGATATATGCGATGAAAAAATGATTGACAATAATCCTTTACTAATTGGTGGATTAGAAAATCTACTCCTTGAAATGATACCAAACAGTTGGAAACAACCAATGATGAAAGATGGTGCAAAACAAGTTGCTCAATGGATATTTGAAAATTTAATTATGTTATACGATGATAATGATTTCTGTGATGTAACTGAACGATCACATGATCACAGAAATGTACTGGATGATGCCAAATTTGTGACAATCGAGTTATTACCAACAATTATTTATGTATACTTCTGTTTATTAGGTGAGTATTAGTTGCGTTTTAAAAATGTTTGTTGGACATGTGTTTGTACTATTAGTAAATTTTAAGAAGCTGAGGCATCAGTTTGCCTTGGAGAATAAACAGAAGACAAAAAATTAGATTGGTTACAGGACTTCATCATGAGCTGATATTGGTTGGTGAACAACTGAGAAAACCTGAGAGTACTGGACAGCTGCTTCGTCCTAGTTTGGGACTCTTCAGCAGTACGCACCCACCGGGTTTGAATTAAATGTGAAGTGTCTGCCAGTGAAGTTTTCAGCTCACATAGTGACAGTCTATAAGGATGAATATTCGCCAATAGTTTAATCTTTCTTATCATCTGAAATCGTCTTCTGTACAAAAAATTATTAGTTTGGCAACGATTTTGTAATTCTTTCATTATTTATTGATACTAGAGTCATAAAGCAAGCGTTTAGCAATAACTTTCTTCAGAGCAAAAGAAAAAAAGACTTAACTCCTTCTCAGTAATATATCGAAATTAGGTAGGGGTCTTAGTTTGAACATAAATACCTTTTAATGTCACAAGTAGGCAAGTTTCCTGACTAGTGATTATATTTTGTCACGAATGACAGACTGCTTTGAGAAACTAACAAAGTTAATATACATATTCATAAACGATTAAGATTTAATTAGTTTCTTAGATCCTGAAACCTGTTATAGGAATGAAAAGTCAACATGCAATGAAAGTAGATGTTTCGTCATAAGACATTGAACTAGATTCTATTATGATTGAGGTTTGAAGACTGCAAGTCCTTTTAAGTATCCTATTTGCTTGTATTTATATATCATAAACTGTTCAAAGTAAACAAGCTTGTTAGGTTATCGAGTTTATGACAAGTTTTATTATAGCTACCGTCTTTAAGTGAAAAACAGAACAAATTTTGATATAAGTATAAAACTTGGGCACTGTGGTAGAGTATAATTCCATTATAAATAAGATTTTATTTTGATAAATCGCACAGTGTTTACAGTTATATGAACGATATATGGACGATAATTAAGCTACAACTAAAGACTACAGGAAACTCAGGAAGGCTGTGCCGAATTCGGGACTACTGTCATCATTCTTTCAGAATAGAATCAGTCTGTATCATCAATTCTTCATTTGCTTCACCCATTCAGTGTTGTTAGACAGTGTTTCTTTGGTATGCATCTAGCGTAACGTGATGAATAAATAATTTGCTTGTTACTGGAAGTTTCTAGTGCCTAGAGTAGCATTAAAATATTTTTCGCAGCTCTTCCACGTAGTTCTCTTGAGAAACTATGATTGAGTAATCAAGGGAGCCATTGATCATATAAATATCTCCATGCTGATCTCCACTTCAAAATGTGATATAAATGAGTTATGCTTAGACTGGTCTTACAGATATCAACAATAAAGGTCTGCAAGATATTGTCTTTATACTATTCAACATTGAATCACTTTTAACCTTTTATTAACCGCTGGAATAACATCTGAAGTATTTTAAAGCCTGAGAGATATGAAAGTAACTGTATTATCAGTTTCATAGCGGGATTTCTTCTCCTATAGATGTTAAATGGTGACAAATATGAACTATTAGTACAAAATACAGTTCCCTTATGAGAGTATAAGAAAGCTACGAACTCCGCTTTGATACTCTGAGAAGACTAATTTATTACGACATTTATTCTGGGCTGAAATTTTACTGATATAAGATGGTCGGACGCAATCACTAGCAAACTTCGGAACTAGATTTCATGCTTGTTGATATTCATTAGCGAGGTGTATTGGCAAGCCTGAAGGAAACCATGTCCTTTCTGAGATTCGAACACGCATCATCAGATAGCGCTTCAGTCATGGACAGTAACCCTGAACTATCCGGACTAGCAGTTCATCATGATGGCGAACCACCTAGTATGGTGTAATTTTACAGACAAGACTGATGAAATCCAGCGTGCACCAAACAAAGGACTATATACATTATGAAACAGTGTCCAATAAAAACAAATTTTTACTGTTTAGGCACATTTTAAACTTTAAAAATGAATATAGCAAAAATATTCATTCAGATATCTATAAAACACAAAATAATCGAGCAAAGAATATTCTTTCCGATAAATTCCTCTTCTGGCTCTACAATTATATACATGTTTATATACACAGAATATCCAAGATTGGTAGTTAATAACAATATTGGTGTTTTTTAAATAATATCGATTTGTAAAGTATGATCAATGGAATTACAGTTCACTAAAAATACTGTTGGGATCCAAAGCTATTATAATTTAAGTATTTTTAGTGAACTGTAATTCCATTGATCATACTTTACAAATCGATATTATTTAAAAAACACCAATATTGTTATTAACTACCAATCTTGGATATTCTGTGTATATAAACATGTATATAATTGTAGAGCCAGAAGAGGAATTTATCGAAAAGAATATTCTTTGCTCGATTATTTTGTTTTTTATAAAAACGAATAGACAGAATATTTATCAATGACTTTCAATTTCTAAAAATGTTCCCTCTAAAACGAAAAAAACTTTCATGTTTAATATATTACGTGCGAAAGTTCTATGTGCCTCAGCGCATTTCAGTTAAAGCTGTTGAGTAACAATTTCCTGTCATCACTATGAGACTTATCTAGGCATAGCATGGCAAAATGGGACTACAGGCCTAACTTCAACCTCTTTCGAGAATTTTCATTTTGTGAAGTATACACTTAAATTCATTTTTTCAATGATACTAAGAATAAGGGTTAACTATATTATAGACGGTACGAAGTTGCAGAATATACACATGAATAGCTGCTCTTTATGGAAAAACATATGTACTGACTGTTACATTAAAATGAAACATATTCTAACGGTTGTCAACATAATGTCTCTCCTTTTTATACCATAACACAACATGCAACTAATTGAACACTTCGTTTACTCTGTAACTCGATATAAAAGACAGATTATAGTCGAATGGTTTTCTAATCCCATAAAATGTCTACAATATAAGTCAATAGTTTAAGGGATATTTTCTTCCTCCTAGTTTAAAAATACCTTCACATACAGGATGAAGCCGGTTACATGTCATTGAGTGTTTTGAGTTTATCTAGAAAGCATTAGCAACTGAAAATAGGACAAAAGCAGTTCGCATATTGTTGCTTCACAACATAAAACTATTTGTCAAAAATTGACATTCATTACTTATAATGTCGTAAAAGCATCTCTGAAAGCAGCAGAATTTGTTACATTCAGTCGAATAAGGAATCAGTGAACAGGTGATAAGTATCAGTGTTTGAAAAAAATGAAAACAAAATCATTATGGATTGCCTGACAGAAAGGCAGAGGCATAATATAAATTATATATATATATATATATATATATATATATATATATATATATATAAGTAGATCACTGTACTCAGAGATGTCAACTGAATGTAATTTTTGTTCAAAGATCAATAGCTATAAAGTGAGATAAGGGTAACATTAGCTCTTCTGTCATCAGTAAGAGTGTATAATGTTATGCTGAATAAATGTATATTGAATTCAGAGTCAGTTATATGATTTACCTCTACTTGCAGTTATATTTCTCCATGACCACACAATTTATCATGTAGAGAAAAGTACCTATTTACTGTAGAATATGGGTAAAACAGTTTAAGTATGTGTTGTAAATTCTTTCACTGAAAATGTGATATACTCGGGGTGTTGATTTTAAATGGTTAGAGGCTATCAGCTACTGAAAGCCTTGAACCTAGGTTACGGGCTAGTTGGCAAGGCGTATTTCTAACCTCAGAGGAACTCATTTCCCTTCTATGATTCAAACCCCACGTCAACCAACGAAATCTGCACTCATAGACATTACCATTGAGCTATTCAGGTTTGCGATCGACCTCCTGTAGAAGTGTTGTGGATAATTTTGATTGGACACTAGTCAGTAACTAGTGTAATGTGTCTAGTCCCCTAGGACGAAGCCCAGGTTCAAGGCTTCCTGCTGATTTCCTGTAATACCAAGAGTTCACCGTGCATAGTGACGGCGAGCCACCTAGAATGGTGGTCACATTACATTAGCTACCGATTTGTATCCATTCGAAAGTATTCTTGCAGTGTACATAACTATTATTACTGATATAAATTTCCCTAAGAAAATCGATTAATACTTTGTTAAGTTTTTAAAGAAGTGGACTGTTGTATTCGGAAAACAAAAACACTAATTGGAGCTTAGATGTGACCAGTCTCATCCTTTTGATAAATTTGGATTTTTAAGCTGTATCATATTCACTGTACATTACCTTTTTTCTGACCATTGAGAACGATAAATATCAGTTAACTGACAGCTAATAGTTTCGGTATGAATACAAAAACAACTTTCGCTATTTTCTTTAAGCAAAGCATTATCAATTGTTATTCCTTTGGGTTTCGAGTAAAATATAAGGCGACAGCAGCATTGTATCCATTTTTCCTGTTCCTCTTGGTCCTGTTTAGCTTATTCCCTCCTCCTAACACAATCTACTCCATGTCAACTTCGAATTCACACTCAATTCTTTGTTTCCAGTTGAAGTCCCACTCCATATCCTGGCCTGCAATGTTTCTCAAGTGTCTCCTCAACGTGTATCCGATTCAGCTTCGTTTCCTTCCACATATTTGTTGAGTCTTCGATTGGTTGGTTCGTTCCCACATTTATTTGCTGCACATTCTTTCTGATCATCCAATCTTGACTTTCAAGCCACCGACAGCAACCTGTGGACGACAGTCTACAGCTGCTTATTGGAAATGTTTGTGGTGACGCAGACGCGAAGTCTCTGAAACCGATTTGACATTAGTGTCGAAAGTTGAAATTTTGTTTTCTATGTTGAGTTTAATGGATTTCTGTATTGATTTGAGAATTATCAACTTCTATTGTGCTTTTCATATCCGGAATTTCATATCTTCATCCATGGCGCTTGTAGTTGGAACGATGCTTCCTAGGTGATTCGAGGTTGTGAACTCGTTCAAATCTCGTTCGCTGATAGTAAGTGATGGTTGGTGTTTGGTGGTCAGGTATCTTCATTGACTATCTCCTTTTTATTCACATTAATCCCAGAATTCATCGCCTGCATTCTCTGCCAACTTATTGGTTATTGCGTGTAGATCTTTATTTATGTGACATTAGACATTAATCGTCCACGAAGTCCAGATCTTATGGGATTTTTCTGTTATTCCAACAAATACAAGTCTTCTCCCTCTTTATACCCTACTGCACAATCTAGTCCATTACAATCAGGAATTTCGCCTCAAATGCGCCACCTAGTTTTCTATTGTAAGGCAAGTAAAATTTTTAAACTTTGAAACCACTAACAGTAATCTCAACAAAATAATATTATCAGGTATTTAGCTGGACAACACAATAAACTAAACATGCAGATTATTGAATTAATATTATTATTGACTTTACAGTGTACTATATCTATATATCTTGCATTCTAAGTACAGTGAATGTGTCATCTACATACCTTCACCATTTTTTTGGGGTGGCTTAATTTCACATCTCATATGTTGCAACATTTTAATGATTCTGTGGATCTCTTCTATCAGGCATAAATTTTGTAGGCTTTCTAAAACTTATGGTGAAGGTATGAAGATAAAATATTCACTGTACTTAGAACACAAGATATAAAGGGATTTTTCGAACACATCAACTCGAAGGTAGAGGCAATTCAATTCACTCATGCATTGAGAAGTCAGGAAGGGGAACTTCTAATGTCAGATTGCAATGTGAAAAGGAAAGAAGATGGGAAGTTAAACACTAATGTTTACAGAAAACCCACACATTCAAACAGATTTGAACTTCCGATCATCATATATTATGTCGGTAAAAAAGGATTGGTGAAATGTTTAAGTGACAGAGCACAAAAACTAAGTAGTACCGAGGAAAATCTGAGACAGGAAGTGAAGCATATAAGAGAAGCTTTGGAACTTAATAATTGACCTGATAAATTAATCAGAAAGTATGTAAGGAAATGTAAAAATAAAATAAACAATGATAGTAGCGATAGTGATAGTAATAATAATGATAACAATAATAATATTAATGACGATACCAACAATAAGGAATCTAAATCATCAGTAGTAACTCGATACAAGGAAGGAACCTCGGAAACCTTACGAAGAATTCTTAACAAGGCAGGAATAAAGGTGGCTGTCATTCAAACTCACAAACTCAATTAGAAACAAGCTTTGTCAGTTAAAGTATCATGTGGAACCTTTAAAACAAAACAGTTTAGTTTATCTAATACCCTCCTGCAATGATTGTCAGGTCAAATACATTGGTCAAACTAGTAGAACAGGGGCAGTCAGACTAGCCGAACATAAAAACCTAGCAAAATCTAGATTAGTTAACCTGAATAAGATAAGAAATGTGGAGAATAGTTCGGCTATAGTACTCACTACATACAGTTTCACACAACCATACAATAGGATAGGATGACAGTTTTAAAATATAATATCGTAGGGTAGAGGGAGAGATTGATAACAGAAGCTTTGTTTATCGAATCAACTGCAAACGCATGTAGTAGGAATGATTCAGCACCTGTTCACCCAGATATCTGGAATATTCTACTACCCCTACGACAAATAGTAGAAGACAAAGAAAACCATAAATCTCAAGTTTCAAAGTCGTGTGATTATGATTGATAATAATGTGAACAATAAATCTTGTTCGAAATATCATCCAGTAAATAATACTGTTTCTCCACTGTGTGATACATCTAATAAACAAACTAATATGGAACGAGATGAATACACACATAAATTTGAGCTTCATTCATCAATCATTGTTACTTAAATCAGAAATGCCTAGTCAAATAAATTTCGTGTTACCAAACTCGTTATGTTGTGGAAGTCATTTACTGAACTAATTTTAGAACATTGATATCACACTTGTAAATGACAGTAGATATTGGCAGAATAGCAAGGATACTGTATGTTAATGGAGAAATCCCAAATTTTGTTTTTCAGGCTGAAAGCGAGTTACAGCTTTTCTTGATGGCATGAATTCATAACAGATCGGTCTGCGTAAATGATTTGTAAAGACGTACAGTATCATTTAAATGGATAGCATTTCAAGTAATCTTTACTAACCTCTGTCTCAAAAAGACGTTCATATGATGGTGTGATTAGGACACATTATTCTGTAATTTCTAGGCCCTTGATCTTATCGCCTATAATACCACATATATTAGATCCATTTCCGTGATGTTTTATCCTTTTTATGTTAGATCCTGATTTAATGAACAGAAAATTTAGAGGCCAGTGGCTTCCTTGGATTTAATCGTATTACTGTGACGAATTTTTGCGTTGCTTCCTTCTGTGACGTGGATATGTTAATTGACACAGTTTAATTACATTTCTTTTGTGTATGTTTGCAGTAGTTAACTAACCTGATGTTTAATGAATTAATTGTTCATATTTTACAAACAACAGGACTAGTCATATCAAGCATGAACTACTTTGACGAATGTAACAGATCATTTTAAGTAAGAATTTCCGAAACAAATCATATAAGAATCTGTTGAATGGAAACCAGAAATAAAAAATTACTACACACTTAGAGAGGAAGAATCTTTTGATAAAATTTTTCCGGACTACGCAGTTACGCGAAACCATCAATTTAATAATGTTAAAAATATACATTAGCCTTCATACTTGCTACACCGTTTGAAGTTATTTTGTATAAAGTTAGTTTGAGGTATATCCTGTTCACTTTGTCTGAAGCTGAAATCAATTGGACATCTGAAGGCTTTATACATCAGAATGGGAGTTCGAAAGATATTAGGGCTTTCATCTACAAAATGCTCCCAATATAGCTTTAATTGGCACTCCTATAAATGAGAATATTTTGACCAATAATTTAGCAGGTGTTCATTTAAGTTTCCAGTACTTTTTTTTACACTAACTAAATCATAGTCAATCTCAGAACAACCTTTAAGTTCCAAGCTGACCTGAGGTTTTCCTAAAACAGTCCTCATTCAAGCGTTACCTTGAATGCCTGAATATTTTTAATTCCTATCAGTGGCCGCGGTGAAGAAAATAGTCTTTTAACAAAGAGGAAAACTACTCAGCTCTGATGTGTTACGTTTGTTCAAAAAATATATATTGCAATTTTTCTCAAGCAAATTTTAGTCGAATGATCTACTGTTTTCATTGACGTTAACAGTCATTCGTTTTATTCATTGTGAATCGGATGGGCTGATGGTTAGAACTGCCGAAAAATATTTTGATTTGATTAAAAGTGTTTCCTGAATACACTGGATGCATAAGAATCATTAATCATTTCACAACTTTTCTCATAACCCTAATGCAGTGCATTTCCCTGTATAATTATTTGCATAATTCAACCCAGTATACAATGATTCACTTAAACCAAAAAAAAACAGAAATCACCTTCGAAAATGACTATTTTTGATAAGGAATAATTAATGTGAAGTGCATTATGGGTGATTTAGACTTCAAAACACGTAGTGCGTCAGGTCTTAGCATAAAAATGTTGACAATCCATCCGTCTATTCTCACCCAAGTCACCGTATGTGTATAATAATTTCCGAACGATAACTTCAGCAAACGTTTTAGAAATATATGCCAAGGTAACACAATCACATCTATCCCTTTTTGATGTGTCCGCTTTACACAACTTGAGTGATTGAATTGAGAAGCTTTCTTTGTTCTTTTTGGAAGCATTTTCAGTGCTAACTTTAATTTGAAAGCTAATCAAATAATCCATCCAGTTCACTAAAAATAAATGCTTACAATTTTTGATTGAGCTACAAATCTCTATTATTCAAAACTGTTTAGAAACTTTATCTTTCAGAGTTGCAAATTTTGAACGTCATTCCACCTAATGCATTTGTTTACACAGCACCTTCGGATGCATATCTGTTTTTTGAGACAAAAGCAGTTGATAAAGTCATCTCGAAAAAGTATGTGTTATAACTCTTTACTTTTTTAAAAATCTCTGTTTAGTTTTCACAGGACCATTTGAGTCGTGTACAAACAAACTTTCAAACAGTAAATCTGAATTAAAATCCGGTAACAAAGTCTTCAACATTGATAAAGTACATTCATTAAAACAACACGAAGAGGAAGAAAATTGTCAAGTAACAAAATCACAATCATCAACCATGCAGTCAGTGAATGTAAATAAATCAGGAACTCCAAAAAAATCTCAATTATATCCTAAGTTTAATTATCCGTCTAATGGTGATTTATCCCCGAAATTGGATCATAAAATAAAATTTTCAAATGTACATAAAATATTGATACATAAAGCTAAAAATGAATATCAGCATATACAACATCAAGGTAGAAAACAATTAAATGAACAGTATACAAATGATAAAATTGATCTCATAAATATTTTTGAAGTTTATCTTCATACTATCTATCGTATTTGTCAACGAAACAGTAAGAATAATAAAAACCGATTACTTCTCATTGAAGAAAATCTTAGAGACAACTTTGAAACAACTATGTTATCGAATCCAAGTATTTATGGTGATGCATTATCACCAAAGAATACAAACAATAAACCAGATAGTTTATTCCCTTCTGAATATCTTCCAAGATCACCTAATCATCACATTGAAAGTAAAATATTAAATGGTTATGAAGAAATTCCAGGTAGAAAGAAGAAACCGAATGTAAGTCGAAATATGCAATTGTTTTTGTTTTCATATTCGATGTAACTTTGATTAACTGTGCGTCAGAGGCACAGTGGTTAGGACTCTCACCGACCATGCACATGGTCCGAGGTTCGATCCCCTGCCGACGCACACCTGGTCAGCCTGCAAAATTTGGTCTTCTGATATTGCATGCTGAAAATTCCATAGTTGTCCCGAAAATAAGGTGTGAAATCAAACCATAATAAAAAAAACGTTAATCACCACATACCTTAACATCATCACGGATTAAGTAAAGTTTCATTGTCTAAATGTGAACATGAAATACAACCGTTTTAAAAACTCTCTATCTCTCTCTCTCTTCATGGTTTTGCAGTATATATTTGAAATTTCCAATTTGTTGAATACCTATTGTTTTCACCGAACGACGGCAGTCATTCTGAAAACGTCCCCTGTTGGTAACATAATTATAATTATCATGGGAATTTAGGCTTTTAAACTTAAATCTACCTGCAGTTTATTAAGTTATTTTATTCATTCTAAGGTTAGTGCAACAAAAATTTTCTCTATTTATGTCAGAAATTTATACACACGCTGAGCATTAGAAATAATCCATGCAAAGCTTTGAATAGATATTTATCATGCATTTTTCAAACAGAAAAAGAGAGAGTGTGCAATGAAATCAGCTGTCTAGCGTTTGAAATAATGTAAATGATGGATTTAGGTTGCAAAGATGAAATGATTATTCACTGGGATACGTATTTGTCTAAAAGTTTGGACTGTCATCATGCTTCAATAAGACAAATGACTTGCAGGAGTTTCCTGTGAAAATGTCGACTTTAGACAGGTATTATGAAAACCATTACTGAGTATTTATCAAAACTTATTAAGAGCTGAATACTAAAAAGGGTAAACTTATCTAGTGCTTTTTGATTTTTATTAGCAAAGATTTGATCTGACAAAGTTTCATTAAAAGGCATTCAAACTTACCACAGAATTACAAGTAAAGTATGCATAAAGACAATTTAGTGTTGCTAAGATATTGCTGTTTTAAACAAGTATGTAAACAGAGGAATTCGACGAGATTCGTGTAACACGTGCCTTTACAAAGTCTCGTAAGTTCTCATACCAAAACAATGGTAAAAATGTTACGACAGTAAGTTGTACTTGCATTAAACTAGTGAAATTTGTGAAAGAAAATGATTTTTCTCTCCTGAAGCATAAGACAAATTGTGAAACAAGTTCTAAACGATTCAGTAAGATGTTTATATTTATATTGACGTCATATTTATTTTATGTAATCTGGTGTGGTCTGTCGAACAGTAATATTTTCTCAGCTGTTAACTAGTGCGTACTAGTATTCACTTATCTCTGCTAATAGTCTACAAATCGCATATTGCTGAAGAGTACCAAACTGGGAAGAAACAACTGTCCAGTGCTCCCAGGTTTTCCAATGGTTCTCTGACAAATTTCAGCTCATGATGAAATCCTGTAACCAATCAGCCATATCCCTACAAACCAACACTTGAATGATATATGCGATTTCAAAGTACACGTCGGTGTACTTAACTGCTTCTTATGATTCTTCATTTATGTAGTTGACTTATTGACGTGTCCACTAAAGAGTAGACTTTAATATACAAATTCAATATGCAAGCTTTACCAGTAGAGTTCAGTCTGCATCAAATATAGTACTTGACACATTACACTAGTTACTGACTAGTGCCCAATCAAAAGTATCCATAACACTTCTACAGGAGGCCAATCGCAAACTTGAATAGCTCAGTGGTAATGTATCTGACTGTGGTACTGGGTGACGCAGGTTCGAATCTTATAAGAGAGATAAGTTCTTTCGAGGCTGCAAATACCTCTTGCTGACTAGTGACTGCCAGCTCTTACGAAACGTAGGTCAAAGGCTAACTGTGGCCGAATGCCTCTAACCATCTAATATCATCAAATCAATGTGCAACGTGATAGCAAGCCACCTAGTGGCATGGTGGCCACATTGCAAGCTTGACTGATACAAACTTAGTCTGCAGCCAACAGACGACTAGACATGATACACCAGTTACCAACTAATATCCAATCAAATAAATGCAAATTTTATTGATGTTCATATCCACTTACTTTGAAATGGTTGGTAAAAATGTATTATACCATACAATTAGACCTATGTACTGATTACAAAAATTCAATAAAGATGGTTTTTCTCCCACAAATAAGGAAAATCTTAGGGCAAATAAAAAAAGATAAGGTTTGATATCTTTATCAAAGTAAAATAAGCAGAGTAATCCAAATAGCTTGACTTTAAAAAAGCACAAAAAGGATATCAGATTAAAGTAAATAATTATGGATAATTTCACATAGACTGTATTATTTTATTTGAGGAAGAGATTACTGATGCATTACTAATATATATGTGTATACATAAATAATTATTTTGATAGTGTTGGCTATATTTTTAGTTCGTGTATACGCTTTAGCCAGTCGGTTGTAAAACCTTTCCCATTGTAATACAAATAGTTTATAGGCTATGATAACATTTCTTAATGCGCAGATACAGATGAATTGTGATTTCATCTTATTGTATATATATATACTCTTTCATCTTTTAGAGCGGTTTTTATAAGATTTAGGATGATACATTTTGAAGACTGACTCTCACATTACTACTGTGACTTTAGTTGCATAGATATTATTCCTAAGCACAAACACCATACGTCAATTATTATTTCATCGGTAAAATGGTCATCATTAGAATCTTTTGTACTATTACGCTAGACAAAACGAAACAAATTAAAAAAATAATCTTTCTTTTAGTTAGCTGTAAGTAGTTTATTTGCAAGGTTACCATGGTCACTAGACAAAATGGTTGAAGTATTCCTGTTTTTTGTAACAGAGAATTGATGGCTGCTGTATTTTTATTTTAGCAGAAAAGAAAGGATGTGTATACTGCTGTCTCCTTTGTGTATGTTTGTTTGTCACAACTCTCAGATGTGTGTGTTAGCAGAAAAACTTTTTGATTGGGTTGTCAATTCCATCCAAAGCTAGAAAACTTATTTCTACTTGTGTATAATTGTTAAAAAATGACTGCAGTACTATTAGTAGCTGTCATTTACCATATGTAGTAGTACATTTTCGGAATGATAGTAGTGTTGACTGGCCTCTGAGTATATTTATGCGAACTGAAAAGTAGTCGAATAGAGCTACTTTATTTTTTAGCCTGCCGTTAATGATTTTGTTCCACAAGTCACTTTATTAGGTGTTTAGGGGGAATCAATAAACTGAGGGGTTGAATTTCAAGACTACCTTTCAAAACTACCTTGTTAGTATTTCCCGTTTTATTTCACAATAGAGTTAAAAATAATTCTCAAGTAGAAAGATTTTTGTAATATAAAGCGCTGGATGTAAAAATTAAGCCCAATGCAAAAGTAAGTAATGAAGCGGTTGTAGGCTTAAGATACTTCTTTAAAATATGTTCCCTTCAGTACAGGAAGTAGATAACAATGTAAGGGGATTAACTAATATTGGTTACTTGGAATGTTAGGGATATTTTTATAGGATAACAGAGTGGGAGTGATAGGCTGTTTTTAATACTTGTGAGATACTTCAATTAACTTGTTAATTGAATTTAACATGAAAAGAAAAAAAACAAACATGGGTTGTCAGTAAGAAACGAGAATTCTTCATAATGTTTGAAAATTTGTATCCATTTACAGCAGTATGAGCTGTTTTTTTATACATACTCCACTTGTGTTTCGTGCAACCTGGAAGATAAAATATAACCTTCTTTTTCGACGAAAAATATTATGAATTGTTCATTTTATTACTAGGGCAAGGATAAATAATACTGCTTAGTTGGGATTACAAAAATTATAAAACTTAATCCATGTAATTGGAGAGAAATTCCTGGTCAAAGAAGGATCAGGTAGCAATGGCTGAATGGTCTACAACTTCACTATATAACTGGACGGGTCCTCAGTCTGAACACTGGTAAGTGGGTACTACTGAGGATTCCCAGACTAGGACGAAACAGCTGTCCAGTAATAACACGTTCTCCACTGGTTCTTTAAACGATTTCGATCTGTGACCGAAACTGTATCCACTGGAATCACACTATACAACTGCAACAGGAATGATGCAATACTGAAAATCGAAGATATTGGGAACACAAACCGAAGACAGCGAAAGCAAACAATAATAGCGCTATAAAACGAGCGTCCATAAGTTACGCAACAACATCATTAACTGATTGATTCTGCACAACTGCCTTATCTCACATAATATTGTCTGATTTCGGTATGTATTTTGAAGATCATGACTGTCAGTTGTAGAAGCGACTGATCACTGATGCATTTCAATACTGTAATTCAAAAACAGCCATCCTCATCTGCACTTATAGTTAACTCTGAATGAGTCTTTTGATAGCTTTGTTGTTCTGCTCCTTGCTTTCACTTATATCTCCCTATGTATTTCACGTGGTAAATATAGGTATGTTTATAAAGTAATCGACTGAAAAGCCTTATCAAGATATGATAACTTCATAAAATTCTGCTCTATTAAAAATTCCCTATCGTTTTTGATTGCCAAAAGGCTTCAGCCAGATATCTCTTTTTTATCCTGATCTCAGAATTCCATTTTAGATATGAAACATGCACCAAGCCTTTGGGTGGAACCCGAATAGGCAGCGAAGAGTTGGACGTGGATCCAAAGTTGGCATGGAGAAGATCGTGTAGAGAGTAGGTAAAAATTTATGAGCAGTTGTTCAACAGGATACAAAAGAACTTTGAGAGCAGGATAAAGAAGAGATATGTTGCTGGAGCTTTTTGTTCCATTGCAATCAAAACCGATAGGGAAATTTTAATAGAGGAGAATTCAATGAAATTATCATATCTTGATAAAACTTTTCAGTCGATTATTTTACAAACAAACCTATATTTACCACGTGAAATATATAGGGAGATATAAGACAAATATATGGAACGCAATGAATCAATCCTATCTTAAGAGAAGTGAAAACG